ACTGCGCAGAAGGGAAAAGGGAAGGGAGCGTCTGCCGATGTGGAGTCAGAAGGGTCAGGATTCTTGGAGAAACACCAGCATGTGCCATACTCTTAAAGCTGAGCTCCATACTCTCACAAGGCACGCTGTATATTAAGGCTGAACGATATTGACAAAATACTGTGCTGGGATTAGGCTAAACTGCTACATACTGGCACCGATATATACGTAATGTCTTAAAATATATCAGTAAACTCTTATTATTGTTTGGTTCAAGACTGGCCTGCGTTATTCTTGACCAAAGCTATTTACAATATGATTCTTTTTTATATTTGAAGGGAAAAAAAAAAAAGTAAATGAAGTGGGAAATGGATTGTATAGATCAACCAATGCACACAAACATTCTGAGGTTGGTCAGGACTGTGCTGCAATAAGTAGTCGGCAAAGTGGCTCATTAAGAATAATGTGGTGTCTGTTGATACAAACACTATACTAAGTCTAAGTAAGAAATTAATCAATTGGGCTGTGAACGTGGGGATCAATATGTTTTAATGTTCGCAGTTCCTTCCACCAAATTATAGTTCCTTAACGAGCAGCTTGTTGCTACGTCAGAGTAACGAGCTCCGCTCACTCGCTGCTCAGTCTGCTGTAAGCCTCGCCTTTTGAAGTACAGACTGAGCTATAAAACTGCCGCAATATCAAGTTTAGCTCAGTTTTGTCAGTTTTTGCTGGATCAATATTAATGTTGTTTTGTTCCAGCCAGTCTGTAAAGCGTCTTACAGCCCATTTAGTTTGGCAAATGGTATTCGGTTCATTTCTGGCTCCTAACTCTAATAGGCTGAGCAGCCGTGCTCTCTACTGTACCTTTCTTCAATGACTCCCTTGGGCACATCAGATAATGTGGTAACATCACAAAGAAGAGCTTAAACAAGACAAACATGCTCGTTTTTGTATAGAAACATTGTTCCTGGTATGGTTTGGTAGTTCTTGTTACAGGGTTAACCTTTTCAACTGCTTGAGACCACCGATGGTTCCAAAACGCACTTCGTCATATTCTTCATAACATTCATATTTCATAAGCTACATTCAAAAGGTGGGGGTCATATGAGAGCTGTAACTGTCTTCTTTCCAGTCAAATAGATGGGTGATGTAATTTTAATCCCTTATAATAAAAGAAGCTGAACTCATGATTTTTTTTTTCTACTGAAAGTCGACCCATTTTTCCACAAATCTGGGCTATAAACTATAAACAGATGGCGTCTCTTCAGTGATCTGCTCTGTAAAAATTATTTTTATAAAATAATACAAAGAGCGTCTAAGATTTCTGGCTTTCAGCAGTAAATTGTAAGCATATAGTGATCTGTGTGATCATAAAACACGTTCTGTTAATTTGAGAGGAGCTTTTACAAAAAAATAAATAAATCAATAAAATAAAAATGTACATTTATTTCATGCAGTTACTGAATAATTTGCCTTGTGATTTGGTTGTGTAAATTCAGATGGACAAACCAAAATATACCCTGGAGAATGAGAGGTTAATACATCAGAAATGCTACTTGTTAATGAAATGGCAAAAGCTTGCATGTTAAGTTAGCCTATTATTGTTATTAGTTTATAAGACTGGCCTGTACTAAACTGTCTTTTTGTATTTAACAACTTTAATGTGACTTCAGATTCACTTTAGCCCAAATTCATGTTTCGCGTGGGAAGACGTTCAGTGTGTGGAAGATAAACACTGCTTTATCGATTTAGCAACTGGGGTTATTATTTTCATGAACTGCTGGGACTGCAGTTTTTAGAAAAATTAAAGTACATATGAACTTCCAGTGGTCCTGTATCTCCTTCTGTTACGAAAATAAATTGTTTAGATAAATCAGTGCATTAATAAAATAGTCAACAGAGTAAATGAATACTAAATAAATCACCAACAACAGCCCTAATTTAGACTAATGACTCTGCAAATCATGGAAGTGTGCACCGTGATGGAAGCACAGTGGGGTTTATTGTGGATGAGGTAGTACAGAGGCTGAGGCTGAGCTGCTGAATGTGGTCCAAACAGCACAATGCAGCCACTGCACAGCCTTACTGCTGAGATGAAAGCAAAGAGAGGGTCCCCACACAGCCCACAGCACGGTCAGACAACAAACAGCGGCTACGCTCTCTCTACAGCACTCACTCCATCTCTCCATCCCTCGCTCTTTATCCCTCTCCCTCACTCACTGCATTTCCATCCCTTTATACCCCACTCTTTCTCTCACTCTCCTCTTTTCTCTCTCTCTGACTCCCTTGCTCTGCCAGAGAGCTGCAACAAAAAAAGGAACTAAAAGCACAAAAGCTTTTTTCCACCACCGGCTAAAAACAGCCTGGTGATGCCGAGGGGACGGCGGAGAAGAGGATGGAGGGAGAGGGGAGGATGTATGGAAGGGACGGGAGGGGTGGGGAGGTGAGAAGAGGATAAGGCATCGCTAGCCAGGCTGCACAATCCGGGTCGACAGCGCTTCACCCAATGAGTGCGAGCGCTTAGCGCTTTTTCAGCCCTGTTTCCTCACATTCCTCATACGTGAGGAAAGAGTCGCCCTGCACAATTCTGCTCCCCGACCCTTACAAGAACGACTGAGCCACGAACGGAGTGCATGGTAGGGGTGCAAAAAAGTGGCGATTTGAAGTTGATGAATCTGAAGGCAGTGATTCAACTGCATCAATTATAGGCAGCTAGCATCTACTAAAATAAGAAACGATTATAATATTTAACTACAAACATGCATGGCTTAGGATTAGATCTTGGGGGCCTGGCTTGAGTGAGTCCATGCATTTTGGTGGCTGTCAGTCAAAGGAATCAACAATGTCTTGTTTGTGAGTGAAAATGAATGGGAGTCTACGAGAGGAACGAGGGATGAAAAACCGCCACAAAGAGGAGTACAGGTCGGTATGGCTGTGCAGTAGAGTTTGAGGTCCTACCCTTAGTGAGTACATGTAGTTTGGTGGCTGTTGGGCAATGAAGTAATAGAGTTTGTGTGGTGGCAAAAATGAATGGGACTGTATGGGAGAAATGAGGGATGGAGACAAAATAGAGTGCGGGACAGAATAAAATTGAATTCGCGCTCGGGGCCTGCCCTGAGATAGTGTATGTGAAACGGTGTCTTTTGGTCGAGCAGACGTACAGTAGATGGTCATACAATTTATCACCCCATTCATTCCTACAGGGAAAAAATTCGGAATTTAACAAAGATCGTACGATAACTATGCATCAGATCAAACAGCTGTATACAAGCCTGAATCTCACAATCAGACTGTGCAATCTGGAGTTGGAACGGTGTTTATCTCGAAAACTGCAGGACGAGTTAAGTGGCAAAAATCCGGCAGAAAAATAAGAATAAAAGAGAAGAAAAATAATATAAAACAAAGAAGAATATAGTTGCGCGTTGCTTTGCTAATACAGTATGCGCTCCAGAGATGCAGGAAGAGGGGTAAGAAACGTGTTTACTATTCCAGAAATGCTGAACGTAAAATAAAAATAAAAATGTTGTATTTTCAGCACAGAACTGGCGCACGTATGCTTGTTTTTGGGTGCAATTCATATGTTAATATTATGTATTGCTTTAAATGTAAACAATGCATTGGTTAAATGTAAACAAAGCCATGCAGAGTTTGATGTGAAATGCTTAATTCTAGAGAATCTTAGTGAGTCAAAATTGTTCATAGTGGTGGTCATAGGAACCAGACATCTGAAGGATGCCTCTAAAAGCTGCCTCACATTAAATGGTTATGAATAAACGTCTTGATGCCTGGGACATTGTTTTATAATAGTTTTGGGAAGGTTTTGGCCCAAAATTTTATTTATTTATTTTTTTTTTTTTATAAATACACCCACGGTATTCACGCAGGACATTATGAGGCAAAACAGTCCCCAAAGAGAACAGATTTATCACTACTTTACCGTCAACATTAAATATAAAAACTTGTGTAGGTTCACTGGTGGTTTTGGATAGTAAATAAAATGTCTATATTTTTAGATGTGGCTCCTGGTTCCTATCACCACCACTGTAAAGAAAAATCTGAGTCAGCAAATTTCTGTACAATGCACCATCTCAACTACTGACCTACTCAATACATTAAGCCATATATCTTCTGGTTTCAACTGTTTTGTGGTGGCCCATCACTACACCTCTCTCCTAAGTACGCATTGTAACAGGGCGGCTTCGCAGATGCTTCGCAGATGCTCTGCATTACATCAATTGTATTAATTATATCATTTTGATGTAAATTACCCAAATTATTTGGTTACATGGAAAAAGCTGTATTTTAGCATAGCACTTAACATGACATTCACTGCACATCACATAAGTTGCTTAAAATTTCAGCACCCCGAACTTAAACGTTCCATGTCCCTGATGTGCTCATTTTTCACAACCGAAACTGAAAAAAATGACACTTTTTTATTAAAGTAAGCAAATTTGCTGAGAAAAAGCTTGGTTTACTATTCTAGTATATTCCATGATCATGACAATCTCCTCACGAATAACTGCAATTAACAATTATCTCCACATGTTCACTGTCTGCAGCTATTCACGCATAAGCATAAAGTGGCAAAACTCACCGATCACCCTCCTCACAGTCAATGGTTAGTAGCTCTGAACTGACCGACACAAACTACTCACTACTGCACCGGTGAGAAGTCGTAAAAAGGCTTTCTGCTTTTTAAACTTTACGTTCTGCTAATGTTTGCGAAAGCGAACAACTGTGGGAAATAAACGTGACATCCTGAATAACTGCAATTAGGTGGTTATGTAATAACCGTGACAGGCCTAATTCCACCACTGCTTAACACCCAGTCACATTTACTGTGTTTAAGTGAATCTTCAGTTGAAAAGATTTCAGATCCATACCACAAAAACTGAACGATCAAAATGAAATGTGATCCACTGGACCATTTCCTTAAGAATCGAAACTGACCGGACTCCCTGTGTGGTCAGAGGTTTTCACCCGCGCTGTGTGGTGTATGCTTTAGATTGGCTCGTTACCTTACACCTCCAGCCACCGGTGGGGATGGATTCCATTACGGGCTGCAGGCAGAACGTGTGATAGCCTTTGTCACACATGTCGCACACCAGCATCTTGCTGTCTTCCCCAGGGTTTCTGAAACAAAGCGACAACAAAACATGATCGAGTTAGTCACACACCTCTGAGTGCTTTAAAACAGCAGAGTGAGACGAAACACACACACACACACACACACATATACACAAAGCAAAGAAAAGCATCAAGCTGAGAGGCGCAATCCGCACTGAATTCATCCCAATCAATTATCTACTGTAATAATGACACACAGCAGCATTTTGCTGTTTGTCTAATTGAATTAGCTGCCGTGCACTACCCAGGGACCGCCATCTGCAGGCTCCACATGACGGCTTCATTACGCGCCGATGGCACTGTTCAGCCAAACGGCAGCTGATATTCCAGTGTTTGGAGAAGCCAAACAAACGCACCATTAAACTCGACACATGAGAAATGGCACTTTGGCAGCTGCGGTTCCTACTCCAAACCTGTTTGGGTGATAAATCTAACCAGGGGCTTCGCAAAAGTGAGATTTATAGGGCCAGGAGTTATAGGAGGTGGAGGAGGAGGGGGGGTGATGTTTCAGGGTAGAGCGAGGGAGCCTGGACATTCATCAAATCCCGGGCATGTATTTCTCAATCCGATGCAAATCCACACTAAATGAGAACGTCATGTGATATTTACAGCTGTGGAGAGCTATTAAAACCATTTTCCCCTCAGCAACTCTGCTTCCGCGGCCAGGCCTCTACCTACCTCCCCCCACCGACGCGGCGTTTCAGCACCCCTCCTCCTCAGCCAGCCTCGCCGAGTGGAGAGGGATAGTTAAGACTAAAATAGAAATCAATTTGGACTCTTCCTTTCATTGAGACAGCAGAACTGTACAGCGAGCATTTAGGACCGAGAACAATGAGCTCTCGCGGCGCACACACACGGGAGATTTCTGAAAACCGCAGGAAAAAAAAGGGGAAAAAAGAATCCTTAGCTGTGAGAGTGATCAAGGCAAGTCGGCTAACCGCATGTTTCCCCTAAAGAAGGATCAGTCTGGGGTGCAAAACTGGAATCTGATGCAATCAATAATCGCTCAATTTATTATTTTTATCACTCAATTGATAAAATTGATGAAATTCCGCCTGCTAAAACATTTCATACAAACATGGTTAATAATGGCTCTTTCGTATTTTGGCTGAAAGACAAAACAGGCCAAAAATGTTGCTCAAAACAAAAAAAAAAAATAAATAAATAAATAAAAAAACCACCCAGAAAAAGGGAGAACAAGGTGGAAAATGAAAAAGTTTACTAATTATTTTAATGGTGATGAAAACAAGAAACTCTTTCACTCTTTCACTCTCCTGCTCTGGTCAGCGCAGACATTCAGACAGTCAGAGCCGCAGCAGATAAACAGTGAAACGTCAGCCCATTGGAACTATATCACGGTTTCTATAAGGGATCTGTTCAAGTTGTGTATCAAGAGGAGACACACATGAACTTCCCCACTACAGATCTGATGCCACCTGAAAACATCACATCCCACTCGACACGCAGAATATAGCAAAACAAGAGAAGCAGAAAGGAAAGTCTGCCACACTAATGCCACCTGTGGACGGTGAACGGACACGATGAAAACAAAGAACAGCAAAGTCCAACTATAATATAATGGAAACTTAAATCATTTCATTTTAATGCATCACTGTTTGTTTTTTAAAAAGGCTTTTGAATGGTTCATTCACGAATTTTAAATCAACAGTTTGACTTATTAAATAGCAAATAATGTTGCAACGTTGGCTAATAGAAAATACTGTCACTCAGGTTTTTAACGTGATCATTTTGCCCACACAGTATGCAAAAAGACAAACAAAATAAAGAGCTAATGAAGAAGTGCTGATTTGGCTGTAGAGCTGTCATATGATTCCAATGATCAATGGTGATTAATATCCGTGTGGTTCACTCACATTACTCACATTTGTCTTTTGCTCAAATTTGACCCGAGAGAAAGATTTTAGACATTTAAAAATGGTTGTGCATTGTATTACAGATACAGAGTGGACGGTTTTCATCACAATATATTATGCATTTATAATAATTCAATAACATTATTTTCATCATGTGATCGCAGAGAGAAAATTGCATGATTTCCACAGATTGAATGCAGTTTCCCCATTTTCTGACATCCAGTGGGACCAACATTGGCTACATGTACCAACTAATGAGTGAATATATCATATATACAGTCAATGGTTCAACTGGATTCCTGTTACAGCGGAGGCTATCGAGGGAAAGTGGATTTGTCCACTTTACTGTTGCTTTTGTTGGTTTGCTGCTCATTGATTTATTCATAGTTCTCAGCAGCTGGAAATACCTTCTACCAAAAGAGCCATCAAAGGAACTTTCCTTTTAAAAATTGTATTTGAACAAGAGCGCTAAAGTTGTAGAATCATAAAAACAGTGTAAGGCAACCTTCCTAGGGTTAAAAACATCTGTGATAATAATGAACGCATTAACTTCCACAATATCGGTGCGCAGAAATCACGATCAGCCCTAAAAATGTACATTTGGTGCAGCTTTACTTCTGTTCACGCCTTAAATGACCAGTATCCACTGATGGGTCCACACTTCTATACATCAGCCCATTTGTGCTGTGGTCCATGTTGTTACTGAATAATAATCCATTGGATACAATAAAAATGAGATTAAGGTGATAATCAGATAAGCAGATTGTCAGAAACACTTTCTGCTTTTGTCAAGAACCGTCTCAGGTTTATTTCTAATCTCTCTACTCAGAGTTAAAATGCACACGCAGATATATACACACACTCACAAGCAAGTGATTTAAGAGCAACCAGATCTCACTTCTCAATATATCTGAGTGAAGGGGGTTGGGCTGATAAACAGCACAAAAACCCTCCTTATCTGCTCATCCTGCATCATTCAGTCCCACCAGCTGTTCACATCCTGAGATTAGCCCTTTAAAGATAAGCGTCCACGCCTGCCTGGCCAATAGCAAATGGCACTCTACACTGGGTAAAGTGCCACTGGAAGACTTTCAAACAAATGAACATGTTCAGATAAATGACAGAGTGATATATAACAAATTTCAGAATATGGATTATCAAAAGGAAGAGTTTAAGGTGACGTTCGCATTACAAGCCTTACTGCTCAGATTCTTTTTTTTTTTTTAAAAGATGCACTGAACTGTATCAGTAAACTGTTTAAAAGCGGACGGATGGTATACTGATACTTAATGGCGTGTAGATCATATCTTATTCCATAAGTGCAGAATGTTTAGGCTACGCCTAGAGCAGGAGTCAGTAACATGCAGCTCTTTCACTGTCCTGTTGTGGCTCCACAGCAGAATTAGATTCTTAGGGAAAAAATAAAATAAAATGATCCTCCTTTACAGTAAAATAAAGCTCTGCTGGTCGTTCAACACAGTTTAACAATAAATGGTCTTAAACACTGGAGTTAATTAACTCTGAAGTTTGGGGCGCCCACTGCTAGTCACCATAGCAATGCAGACTACAATATCGCCTGGCTAGTAGCTAACGAAAAGGCAAAGAGAAAGATTTAAGACGGACATTGATAATTTGGAGACTAATGGACTTTTTTTTTACATTTATAATCACTCCAGCTGGTTTCCTGAAACGTTTAAACTGTCAAACACTAAAAAGCTGCAAAAACAAAGTCAACTTCTCATTCGAATTTTCCCATTCCACCTTAAATGGTGCCTGAGGTGCCAGAACTTAACTGCAGCACCATTTAAGGTCGAATGGGAAAATTCGAACGAGAAACTGACCTCATTTTTGTGACTTTGAACAAGAAGCTGGCGAAAGAGAAGCTTCGCAAGAAGTCGAATGTTGAGAGACATTTCACAAGAAACTACTCTATTTTTCCGGAAAAGTTTCCTGTCGGAGATGTGAGAAAAGCGGCTATAGCTGAGCTAAAGCTTAAAGCAGAGCAAAGTAAGTCTGCATTTCGTTTATATTATATTTTTAAGCCTATACTAGAACATCAGCACATACTGAGACATATTGTGGCTCCCAATGTGGTTTGATTTTTGCTGAAAAGACAAAATGGCTCTTCTTAACATTTGGGGTGCTGATTTGTGTGATTTGTGAAAAAATATTTGTTAAAACAAACCCTTGTCTGTTGTTTTTTCTTTCTTTTTTATTTTTTTTTACATGACTTTAACAAAAATTTCTCTGTAAAATTAATCCAGGTGGAAAAACTTGGTACCAGTTTTTCTGCCAACTCGACCAAGTAACGTGAACAGCCTTAGTACAGGGCATGAGATCACAGAAAGAGTGGACACACTTACTTGCATGTGAGGCAGACTTTGCACTCGGGACACTGCCAGCCTGCCCTCTTTAATGGAGTGACTACGATATCCAGACAGGTCCCGTGGTAGTGCTGACCGCAGGAAGTACAGAAGAGCTGGTCCTGCAGGTCCCCCGGGCTGTCGCACACCAAACAGTTCACTTCATCTTTAGCTTGGAGGGAAAGAAAACAGAGAGGACACATTAACTTCCCATACACACGGCCAACACGCATTCATTTATTAACACATTCTTAAGAATACAATGTTCGCTGTGGGTCAAACGACAAAACAGCTAATCAGCTTTACATTTCTAAATGCTGCCTGTATACATGGAGAAAAAAAAACTACGTTTTCCTTACATACAGTACAGTGCAAAAGTCAGAGACCACCCTTTCATTTCACATTTATTTCTTTTTCATTTTACAAGTCAATCATTTTGCAACGTCAGGAAAAAAGCAGAAAACACATGTAAAAGAAAACTACAAAGAAGCAACAACTAAACACAGTATCAGATTTTTTCAGTTCTTGTGTCGAGTCTATCTTTGTCTTTGTCGTATCTGTGTCGTTCTTTTCAGTAGACTCTGATTCAGTTCCTCAAAGAAATCTGGAGGCATATATCTTTCCACACCTCCAAAGTTCAGTCTTAGAAGTTGGTTAAGCATTTTCTGCTTCTCACGATCCAAATAATCCAAACACGTTCAGTGATGTTGAGGTCTGGACTTTGGGGTAATCAGTCCTTTGTTATGAGAACTCCAGCAGCTTCTTTGATCGATCTGTAAATGATGTTCTTTTTTTTTTTTTTTAACTATATCCTTTTCTCAGTAACAGCTTCCTGACAGCTACACAACCGTTGCAGACCCATAGCACTGAGCTGTCGTCTGACAGTGGAAGGATGGACAGGAACATCCCTCTTCCTTATGCAAGTGGATTATCTTATATGTAATTAGAAATATCAGAATCCTCAGAAATCTCTCTCGAAAAACAAGGAACTTAAACTTAATGACTGCTCTGACTGGAAAAGATACCATTTTTTTGCACAGTATTGTATGGAGCTTTTAATTCAGTGGAAAGATGTTCTTCACAATGGTGGTCTCTAAGGCCCAGTCCCATTTCTTATTTTTAGCCCTACCCCTCGTTTTTGAGTGTCATCTTGCCCCTTGGAACTGTGTTATAAGTGGAAGTGGCTGATATCGTCCCCTATGAAATGGGACCCTCAAATAAAGAAGAGCATTACTTCATTAACAGCTACCAGCGCTGCTCTGTAGGCGACCCTGCCAGTCTGCAGTGATAGCAGAGGAGGGTAAAGTTCAGCTCCTCACTGCTGGGCTTTAGTTACATTTAGGGCATCATATGCCTTCAAAGAGGGGGGCAATTATTTATCACCACCCACCCCTAATTCTTCAGTGTTATGAAGCTGAAGTCAGTTATTCATTAGCACCTTTTTCGAATTTTCCCGTTCCACCTTAAATGGTGCAGCAGTTCTGATGCCTGAGGCTGCTGCGCCATTTAAGGTGGAACGGGAAAGCACAGTATTAGCGATTTTTAAGCTTGTTATGAATAAAATGACCATAATACTTTTAAATGACATAAACTAAGATAATAAAATGGTTATCCAAATTTTTTTTAATGGATAAAATTCCCACATTTGTGTGTTTCTTGCCTGTTTTTCTTTTTTTTTCCCTGATAACACTCTGTTTGGAGTGAGTCTCTGAAAAACCTCTGCTTGGAGCTCCATGTAGCCTTCATCCTAACACTTCGCCCTACCCCTATGCAAAACGAAGAGGTAGGGCTAAGGAGTAGGGGCGAAGGGTGAAATGGGACTGGGCCTAAATCTCCTCTTGTCCGTGAACCACCATCTCATAACAGCTAGCTACATACAGATACATACTTTACTTTCAGCTCCAATCTAAAGTCTTATTATATAGTAACTAACAGAAAATTAGTAACTGCTAAAACTAATAGGAGGTTATGCATTTATGAGAGTGAGGAGTTAAACTGTGAATCTGCTGATGGGTTTTTAGAGTTTAAGGGACTAATTGTAATTAATAAGCACATTTAAGAATATAATTCGTACTGATGAAAGGAATGCACTCAAAATATAAAAAAAACAATGAATATGCTCATCTAATCAGTGATCATTATTACAGGATAGGCTTGTGTGAGAGAGAGAAAGCTGAGTGAGTGACTCACATCGTGTGAGGGCGAGCTGCACGTGGTCTGGGCAGAGCAGGCTGTATCTCCTGATGTCCTGGAAGGTGCCGGCGGCAGCAGCGCAGGGGTAATGATAGGAGCGGCTACAGCCCTCCTCACAGCACTTAATGGATGCTCCAAGGCGCTTACAATACGCACAATACTGTAAAACACACAAACACACACGAACGAGTTACTTTACTGACTTACAAAGCAGCTCATCTCACTGCCTGAAGCTTGTTTATGTTCAAGCAACTGCTACAAGCCAAATTCACAAAATAAACAGAGTTACAGAGTTAATAAAACATAGCTTTCAAGAATCCGATCCGCAGTAAAGGCCTGAGCCGAATGACTCTCGTATACTGCCAACAGATCAATCTATCGTGATTGCTGATAAAGCTGGACGATCCAAATGTCAGAAAACGCGCCGTCCACAGCTTTAAGACGGACTTATGTAATCAAACTTGTCTCAGTCTCGGTTTCCTTTTCACACGTACTCCATGTTCACATCAGTCTAAATATGCTGTCGAGCTTCAGAACATTCTGTAACAGTTAGACTGATAAAAACCTGCAGCCTTCAACACATGGAATGCCTTTTCCCATGAAACATGAGGGCTTAAACAATTATGATGAGGTTAGATCAACGTTATTTAAAAAAGGCAGTGTTTTTAATATCCTAATACTAATATTAAGCTACGATAAGGCCCGAAACATACTTCACGCAAAGACGCAAATGACACCGCTCGTTCAACGCACTGCAAACTCTCAGTCCTTCTGTACAAACTCAGCGTGTGTTCTTACGTTGCTATGGCGGTTAAAACACTCAGTACTGAAGGGGGCGATAGAGGGCAAATCAGAGAGGGATCTACTGTTATTCCAACAGCCTCAACAGCTAAACGTGGGCAGTAGAGGAGAGTGAGCTGCTTTACCTCTTCTTTTGAAATGCAAATGTGATAATGCATGATATTTTTATGTTTATTCAAGCCAACTTTGCGTGACACTCATCAGCTCGTCTGCTATGGCAGTTGAGAAGCATGCAGGCGGTGCGAGCACGCTTGGTCAGGCTTGGCTGTCGTAGTGCCCCTTGCTGTAACGATAAGATTGCAGCTTGTGTTTCTGTTGCGACACATTTTTCAATGCAACTACTCGCAAAACCCCGTCGGCGGCGCACGAAGCGTGAAGTATGTTTCGGGCCTAAAGGTAGTGGCTGACTTCAAAAGCTTTACCGATGTTATTATTTTTGACAAGAAGTGATTAACAGACTGTAAACGTGGTGTAATCAGGCTTCTCTGTGCTGTTACCACATTAACTTCATTATCAGTCAGTATTCATAGCTCTTTATTTACGGAAACATCCTCACAGGGTGCTGGTTGTGCGGGAAAGTGGTGCCACACAGCAACTAGTTCTTTATTTATTTATTTTTTTAACGTGGCTCTCAGTATCCCACCACCACGCGCCTCCTTGATACTACTATCAATTGCCAATTGCTAGGGGCACAATCAGCCGATAGTACACCGCAGACAATCTCACAGAGCTGGTACAATATTAGTTAATCATGGAAAAGTTACTTCTCCTAATTTTCTTTAAACACAAGTGTTTAACGTAGTATGTAAACATTAAGCTTTGAAAAAGTACCATTCACTAGCCAGGCTATACACGCAAACCGAGCTGCAAAAACAGCTCTTTTTGAATTCACTGTGTTTGTGATGTCAACATATTTACATATTCAGCCTACAGCAGCTTTGCTCCGCCCACTCAAGCTGAAGTTATAAGGAGTGTTTCAGTCTGGACTGCATTTTCCAATGATACAATATACGACAGCCAGTCAGAACAGACCATATTTCCATATATCAGTCAGAAGCTGGAAAATGGTCATGTAAAATGAATTACTACAACTGTTCTTGGTACACAGAACCGCACAAATGTTGTAAGTGGACCTTGGGGGGAAAAAAACACAAGACAAATGTAGGATATGAGCCCTTTAAACACATTTACCCTCTTAAATGTATTGGTTTCGGCAACTGTTGGACATAATTAAATTAAAAAAAATCTAAACACTACACTTTCTCATAGGTCTGAGGTAGATTTTTAAAATTAGGATGGACTTTCATGTTGGAGTGATCAGTATTTGTAATATTTAGAGGGCGGGTTTAAGATTTATTTCACAAAAAAAGCTTGTGGGCTTTTGATTTCATGCTTAATTATTACCTTCATGTCTGAAGAGTCCTCGAGTCCTCACTTGAAACACACTGCCATCAATGAACTATTCCTTAGCGGAGCTGTGCTCCATGTTATATCAAAGGCAGGGCTGGGTATCAAAATTCAATCATTCTAAGCTACTGACAAACTAGTCAAATACTACAAGAGTATTGAGACAGTTTAGGTCATTCAGCACCACGTTTGAGGGCCTAAGAAGACCCTCTTCTGCATCTGTGAGCCAATAAGTTCACTCTTTACAAAAAATTATAGATGTCAGGCAGTTTTCTTTTTGCAAAAACAGATTTTTGCTTTTCGATGTGGACGTTTTTAAGTAATAATTTTTTCTGTTTTTAAAAATCAAATGTAATCTCATTTTAAAGAAATACGTTACTTAACTCAATATTTTCTGCAGTTAAAAGAAACTACTGGGGGAAAAAACACTCAGGAATCAGCATCAAAGTCAAGGTGTCAGTATTGGTATCACTTTAAAAGATTTTGGGCAACACTAAGCCCTAACTGAGCATGACTTTGGTTTTCTTTCATGCACTTTAAGAGGTCTACCACTTCGCTCTTACATTTTATACCAAAACGGTGTCCATTTTTACAAAAGCAAGAAAACTAACAAAACCCAGCATATATATCGGTGCAGAAGGGTGTGATCAACTGAATTCACAGAACCCCAAACAGAACTATACCAGCGCACACACACATACTGCCGCTGCACACACTGCATACAGCGAAAGGCCTGAGAAGAACAGGGTCTTGAACTAAAAACATCTTCCATCAGCAGCCTCAGTAGCCGCCTCTCGGTCCCTGATGACTTAGAGGAGCGCTGGCTCGGCTCCCAAATGCTACAATCTGCAAATACCTTTTAACACAGAGCGCGTCGAGCAATTATCACCCACATGGCAAATCCTCTGAGGCCGAGACGGCTCTGTACCACAACACACAAAGCAGGATGGACCCTCAGCCACACCCAGTCAGGGTTCTGATGACAAAATACAACTGAAACCACTTTTATTATATCTACAGTAACGCAGCCTGCTTCAGTGCATTTCTAAAGGCCAATAGCAACTGGGCATCATTAGGAAGAGATCAACAATAAACAAACAAACAAATAAATATATAAATAAACACACACACACACACACACACACACACACACACACACACACATTAGGAAGAGATCAACAATAAACAAACAAACAAATAAATATATAAATAAACACACACACACACACACACACACACACACACACATATATATATATATATGTGTGTGTGTGTGTGTGTGTGTGTTTATTTATATATTTATTTATTTATTTATTTATTTATTGTTGATCTGTTCCTAATGTGTGTGTGTGTGTGTGTGTGTGTGTGTGTGTGTGTGTGTGTGTGTGTGTATGTATATATATATATATATATATATATATATATATATATATATATATATATATGACAGTCTATCAGCCAAGACGTGTCGGAAGCTTCTTTAGTTTTGCACAACAGCTATGAGGCCAATGTAGTTAACAAGTAACAGAAGCCACCTATTAGTATCATGTTAAAACTACAAACTCAAACTGTGTGGAATTGTTAAGTAATCTGTAATAGACTTGCTTGTGCAGTTAAGCACCGTATAACGCTCATCTATAAAAAGGACAAACCCACATTTTTCAAAACAGTAACAGCAGCAAATTGAAGCCTGAATGTGCAAAAAATGAGTGGACCTGAGCTGTTCTTTTAAACGCTCATAATAGTAATTAAATGACAAATTTGCCAATCTGGAAAAGTGAAAGGCCCAGTCCCGTTTCTTATTTTTACCCCTACCCCTTATTTTCAAGTGTCATCTTGCCCCTTGGAACTGAGTTACAAGGGGTAGTGGTTGAAATCTTCCCTACGAAATGGGACCCTCAAATAAAAGAGAGCATTATTTCATTAACAGCTACCAGCGCTGCTCTGTAGGCGACCCCGCCAGTCTTCAGTGACAGCAGAGGAGGGTAAAGTTCAGCTCCTCACTGCTGGGCTTTAGTTACATTTAGGGCATCATATGCCCTCAAAGGGGGGGCAATTATTTATTATCACTCACCACTGATTCTTCAGTGATATGAAGCTGATCGGGACACCCTACCCCAGACGTAAAAAAGGGTCAACTTGAAAAGAAAGTGTAAAAAAAAGCTATACAGACGTTTCTCTAACAGAAGTTCTCAACTCTCAAAATTGCCTCCTTATATCCTGACAATTTTTTGATGGATTTTTTATTCAGTTCCTCCCCCAATTTAAATACTGTAAACAGACTACTACCCCTAACTAACTGTAGCAGAAGATGGGGGCAAAACAAAGAGGATGCTGCTCCACGTTCCTGTTTGCGTGTTCATTAACCTAAAGGTTCAGTCAGAGCTGGAAGAGCTGTCCAGTTCCAAGCAAGACAAAACCCTAAATGACCAAAAAAAACCCTAAATGACCAAAAAAACCCTAAATGACCTTTCTTCTCTAAATTAAGAAGTTTGGCCAAAACTTGGCTCCTGTCTGTTTCCCAGAGGACACGGTTAGAAATGAGGAAAAGCCTGTTCTGATAATCTTATGTGCAAAAATGGCAAAATGGCAGTTTGGGCACCTTTCCAGATGCTCTAGGCCTGTGCTGAAAGCTGAAGTGAAAGCCTGGAGGAGTGCCCTGAGCTGCTGAGGACTAAAGGAGCAATGCCAGCACCTGCCTCCTCCTCCTCCATCACTGACAGAGCAGCAGGCGACTGTCCAGCAGCGATGCTCCGGAGCCCTGGACTGACCCTTGTAGCCCAGCTCAGCAGGCCTTAAAAAGGCTTGAGTCTTCTGCTAATTACCTTGCATACACATGTGAAGCGTAAGCACTATCAGTAAAGCAAACATCATCTCTTCTTTCCCGGCCTGGCCAGCACTGATTCTGCGGTCTCAGCACTAGTTTTCCTGCAATATCTTTAAGAGACGGTT